CAGGACCTTGAGCTTGCAAGGCAGGCAGACTTGTCACGCTTTCAAACTCAGCGCTTCATTGCCTCTACTACTGTTAGTGTCCCCCAGAGATATTCCCTTTGCCAAGTGCCTTGATCAATCCTTAAAGTTCACATTACCTGACATTATTATTAGTGTTAATTTGATGCTATTTGCTATTCTCTCTTCTTTGAATCATTTCTTCCCTTAGCCTCTAAAATACCTCTTTCTGTAGGTCTTTTCCTTCCTCACTGTACTCTCAAGTTCCTTTGCTCCTCTTCATTAATCTTGTCCTCTAAATATAGGAGTATTCCAAGACACTTTCCTCGGATCACTTCTTTCACTGCCTACGCTCATGGCTGTAAGTACCACTGTATGCTAATGATTCCCACATATTACTCCAGCTTGGACCATTCGTCTGAGTCCTAGAATCACACATCCAGGTGCTGACTTGATAGTTCCACCTGAATTCCAAATAAGCATTGTAAACCACTCCATTCTCTATGCCAACTTCTTTCTTCTCCTAAATGGTGACTAGCACCTTCATTCACACCCAGTTGTTCCAGGGGGGAAAAATTTCCAATTTTTCATTCTCCATATTCAGTACCTCATCAAACCCATGATTCTTTTTTCCCCCTCTTTGAGGAAAGAAATTTGAGTTTTAATTTGCAAACCCATGATTCTGCCTTTATAAATTCAACCTAAATTCAACCACACCTCACCGTAACTAGATCAAGCCAGAATTTCTTCTCCTCAGGATTATAGCAACAGTCTCCAGACTGGCCTCCCTGTCTCCACCTTGCTCTCCTATCACCCGTTTTTTCACACAGATTCTAAAATGACCCTTTTAAAATCAAAGTTTGACCCTGTCGCTTGTCCGCTCGATACAGTTAGCCTTGGGATAAATTCCAGAGCCCTGGCTGTGACCTACCAGCCATACCACAAAGCCGCCGTTGGCATCTGCACCCTGTCTCTGCCTCATCATTCTTCTCCAGACACCCCGACCTCCTGGTGCTCCTCAGTGCGCGAACCTCGCACTCTTGTTCGGGCCTTGGCTCTGGGTTTTCCCACACCCTATCGTGCACTTCTTCAGCATACATCTTTGCTCAAATGTCACCTGTCAGAGAGGCCTTCTTTGTCACCTTCTCAGGCCTAACTCTGCTTTTATTTTCCTGTGTGGACCCTATCCCCACCCGAATTTATATTATATATCACTTTTTCTATGTTTACCCACTACCCACTGGACCTTAAAACCTTAAGGGGGAAAAGACTTTATCTTTTCACTGTTAAATCGTCAAATCGAGGGCTATGCCTTGTTCAGAGTGGATATTCGTTGAATGAATTATTTAATGAAAACGGACTAATCCTCCACTTATAAGCTTGCTAAAAGGCTAAGGAGTAAAGTATAGGAAGTGATTCCTATTACACAGTAAGCTACTCATGAACATCTGTTAGTTGTACCATCTTGAATGAAATAAACCTGGACTATAGCCGTGGTGCATGGAAGCTAACGGTTTTTGTGACATCTGCCATTTGCAGAGTATGTTTCTATTTTTGCATTTTATATGTTCCCATCTGGCCTCTGCTCTTTTAGGGATGACTGGAGAAATAATATCCCTTTGAGCTCACATCAGGACTTCATTTTATAGTTGAGCATTTCTTTTAAGCTGTCCACTTAAACAAGAAATGTCACACTGGCTTCCGAGTAAACGCTCTGGCTTTAGAAGCAGGCAGGTAGCAGAAGCATGGCACAATTTCCAGCCACATCCAGAGGGCAGGGAAAACACCACAGATTTTCTGGCATCATACTTAAATATCATACATAAACTTTCAGGAAACAGACACCAAGAAGTGGATTGAATCTCCCATTCCACATCCCTTCTCATCCTCAATGATCACCAGAAATGGTTTCACCTCCCTGAGAGTGAGGGGTAACTCGCTTTCACCTCCCATGCATCCCCAAAAGACTCACTGGCAGTGGAAGGACTGTGGAGATCAAATAAGGGCAGATTTAACCATTAACTCTGGTCTTGATTCAAGTAAGCTAAGTTATTTAACCTCCCTAAGCTTCTATTTCTGCAAGGCCAAAATAGCATCTTCCTTGAAGTTGTGGGAGGATTAGGTTGGATCCCCTGGTGAAGCACTGGCCCCAGCTCCATACTCTTCTGCCTGCTGCCATCCTTCATCCATACCGAGTGTGTAGAGTTCTCATCCATCATCCCCCTTGACTCTGACAACAAGCAGTGCCCTGGTATGATCAGCAAAGATTCCATTAGTGTTGCTGTTGTCGTTTGGTTTTGGATTTTTTTGAGATATAAGTAGATGATTACTGAACTGTTTAGATGTAATTGGGAGCAAGTAGAAAATGAATTTGTTTTCTCTGTGCGTTGATATGCCTCCCTCTCTCAGGGTGACACATCCCTTGAAAAATCCTAGCAGATTCCTGAACATCCTGCTTACTTAATGTATTTTTTAGAACTGTCTACCATAAAACCCTTGTCTTACCTTCCTCCAGAACTGGTTCAGCTTGTAACCTGGAGCACATGAAGTAAAGAGAATTTGTTTAGCTCCTTTGCTGCTTCCAGGTCCTCACTTTGGATTGGCCAAATCTCAGTGAATAGTTGACTCACAGTCTCCTCTCACTAAATGTTTTCAGAGATGGAGGGTCTTCTTCAAAATAAACACTGCATTCCCAAGAACTCTTGATCCCACGCCCCTCTGTCATTCAGGACAAGCTAGGTTATGCTACAGTAGAAAACAAGTCCAAAATATCTCAGAGCCATGATTTTCTCCTTGTCTGGCAGCTCTTCTGACATATTTGAGCTGTAGGACAGAGAAAAGGAAACAACAGTCGCAGCTGGGCCTCTCTTGTTACTGACCTCTCTTGTAGGCTGTTAACTGCTTCTCTGACTACTCTCTTCTGTCTGATGATGCCCCATTGCTGGCCATGATGGTGTTTCTTCAGTGGGCCCTACAGGGCCTCCCCATTGTGATTCCTAAAGAAAAGAGTTGGCCTCATACAACCACATCCAACTTCAGTTTTGAAAATATCAGAAGGGTGGGGAGAATAGCACTGTCAGTTATTTATTACTGAGTACACAAAATAGATCTATAACTTAATGGATTAAAGCACCAGTCATTCTTTAGTTGATGAGCATGTGGGTAGACAACTTGAGTGAAACTCAGCTGTTCAACTCTTCTGGTCTCAGCTAGATGACCTTAAGTCTTCAGGGTGGCAGGGTATCTCTAAGGCTGGGATCTCTCTGGAGTGATGGGGGTTTGATGAGACCACGTGCATAAGGCTACTTTAGGTTTATATATGTAATGATTTGGCAGGTTTCCCAAGGGAGGACTGAAACATACAAGGCAAACTGAGGCTTGCATTTAGAACTCACTTAAAATTGCTTTCATTGCTTTTTATTGGTCAAATTTCCAAAGCCATCAAGAATCAAGGAGTGGAAAATAGGCTCTGCATTTGATGTGAGTAGATGCAAAGTCACCTTGCAGAATTGACTGGGTAAGAGGAAGAGGAGGAAATTGTGGCCTTTTTACAGTCTACCCTGACCACCACATCTTCCACATCTTTTGATGTAGAAGTTAGAGGATTGAGGTAGAAGTATCTGGTCTTGGCAAGGCCACACTGACTCATCCTATGTGCTTGTAGGAGAGCCCAACCACATTTAGTGAAGACCCTTAATAGAATAGAATAACAAGCACTTTTTTGTCTGCAGCTTCGGACCATAGATGTTAATTCCAAGCAATAGGAAGAACATCTATGGATATTCAGTTATAAAAGAAAACCATCTTGAAGGTGAAGTGATCTTTTATTTTGTTTTGTTTTGTTTTTTTGGTACCGGGGATTGAACTCGGGTCCTTGCGCTTGCAAGGCAGGCCACCGAACCACTGAGCTAAATCCCCAGCCCTTGAAGTGATCTTTTAAAAGTCCTGCAGCAAGTGGTTTGTTTCTTTCATCTGGATGGAGGGAAAGTTGAGTATTAAATGCTGATGTTGAAAAGAAATAGTAAATATGACAGACTTTGAAAAGGTCACAGTATTGGAGATGGACAGAGCAAAGCAGATGTCATCAGAGTCCAGAATCTACCACTCCCTGGAGCCTATACTGAGATGCTTTTCTTTAAACCTATGAAAAAAGAAATTTCTTAAAGGACTGTGAACAAGAGACCCACATGCCCACATCTGTATTTCCAAAAGATCCCTCTGGCATCAGTCATACTGGATAGAAGTACAGATAGCACTCAAAACTAGACCTTTAGAAGCTAATGCTTTTCAAAACCCTTTTTGGTGTCTCTTCATAAGCCTTAAAGGTAAAGGATAATTGTCTTAGTCTTCCATCTGCCATAGCCAAAAACAAGGGAGAGGTACAGAGAAAAGGCAAAGAAAGCCAAATATGTAATTTAAATCTGTCCAACACACACACACACACACACAATTTGTTCGTATGCATCAGACTCAAGCAGACTTGAGAGTTTCTGGTTTCTGTCCTGTGGGTAATCTAGCTTGATTGATGTCAAATCAGACAGTAGCCTCTTCTGCTTTGCTGTTTTAGAGATAAGTGGCTGCTAAGTGGTTATAAAAAAGAAAAGTCAGCATTATACATCCATCCTTTGAACCTATGAGTGCATGCTTCATTTCTAATTACTCAAATTTAGAAGATGAACAGTGTCAAAAACCCAATATAAGATGTTTTGACTGCACATTGTTGAAACCTTACGGATGCAGGGGTGGAGGAGCACAGGCAGAAACAAAAGCAAAGTGGTTTCTCTGCTCTTCTGGCTCAGTGGGAGCAGGGGGGTTGTGGGTGCTGCTGAAATTCATCTTAACTAGGCACTGACATCACCCCACCTGCACAGAGACATATAGGATCTTCCTTGGAGGCTAAGGGTTTCACTGGGAACTGTGCAGTGCATGGAGCAGACCTCACCCCCACAGCATGAATCTGCATGATCCATTGTAAGAGAGACTGTTTTGTCATTGCATTGCAGCTCCAGAAACTAAAACGATCACTTTCTTTCAAGACCAAGAGTTTACGGAGCAAAAGTGCTGACAACTTCTTCCAGCGAACAAACAGCGACGTGAAGCTGCCAGCGGATATGCTGGCAGAAGTCAGCCCTAGTTCCAGCCCACTGCCTGCACCTGGGAGCCTGACATCCACACCCACCAGGGTTGGCCTGCACCCCAACAGTGGCAAGGCACATGCCTTTCAAGAGCACATCTTCAAGAAGCCCACTTTCTGTGATGTCTGCAACCACATGATAGTGGGTAAGGCCTTCTCCCGCCCCTTCCTCCAGGTTCAGCGCCCCTGGAAGGCTAAGAGTGGTGTAAGTCAGGTCCAGGTACTCCCAGACTCTGAGCCTCAGAGATTCCCATGCAGGAGGACTGTTCAGGAGTGCTTTGGGGAAAAATATTTGTGAAAAGGTAAGAGCAGCAGGTCTGGGCTGAAGAAGTTAGGTTGTGACATAGTTACAATAAAGACTTCAGCTAATCCCCTTGGAAGCTCCAGAGCCCTTTACAGTTATCTTACACTGGGTCTTTGTGCATCTGTGTCAACCTGTCATTGGACGTGAGCCTTGGAAAGTTTGTTGTTTCCCAAAGAGACCATTGTCTCATCACTGAAATTGGGCACGTCAGTGATTTCCAGTGTGGTCAGTGGGACAGAATTCTCTAGTTCTCTTCATTCTTTACAAAGGTTTAGCTGAAAGGTGTGATACGTAAATGGAGAGCAATATCAGTCCCTATTACAACCATAAATACAAGTCCTTTTCTCATTTTCAGCAAAAGGTTATCTATCCATACTCTCATTTTTTAGTCACTATTATACAAGTTCTTCCTTCCAACAAGACATATTTAGAAATAGTGCTTGTATCAGTCAAGGATTTTGCTCAACAATTTTGCTTAAGTAATGTTTGCCTAAAACTCCAATGCTTAAAAAATTGCTGTATTTCACTCTCAATTGGACACCTTCCCATCCATCAACTGTGGTTCAGCTCATCCAGATCTCATTCAATTATTACATCTTCTCCATGACTTCTCTTATGCTTTCTGTGAACCAGTGGCCCAGACACGTCATTTTCTCTTCCTTGCAAGGATAAATGGCACACAATGCCTCTCAGGGACTGAGGCTGGAATTGATACACTACAACCTCTACTAGCATTCCATTAATTCAGTACCTTACACAAGCAAGAGTCAAGGAATGGAGATTTCCACTCTACCTCTAGGAATAGGTACTGCATGCCTCTTGAAAAAGGCCATGGATGTAGGAGGGAAGAAGTATGAGGTCATTTATCCTATCTACCACTTACATCGTCTAAGGATTACTGAGACTTTTCTGATTTGTAGACTCTACTAAGTTTTGGAGTTCCCATTATTCTCTGATTGGTAGATTCTGCTAAGTCTTGGAGTCTCCACCATCCTACTTCACTTCTTTATATAGAAAGATACCTGGCATCTGAATGTCAGCATGGTGGTTTGCTGTTGGTCTCATCAGGTTCCCTGCTCAGAACACTTAGACAATCCACCCTCTAATTTAATTTTTGTGAATGCCTAGCTTCACAATCTGAATCTCATGCATTGTTTTAATTTCCACATAAATTTTCACTAGGCTTTTTCAAGGCAGCACTATTCATAACCCTTAAATAGGTGATGATGAGGATCTATTTTTAAGTCTCATTGTAATGAGTGTGAAAAGACAAACAGAACATGTGTTCTTAAAAATGAGCAATGGAAATGAGTTCACCTCTGAGAAATGTCACAGCCATTACTAAAGAAGATTCTAGGTACAACTCAAGTACAACAACAATTTTGAACGAGTCTATTCTCAATATATTTTAAAAGCCCTATGCTAATGGGAATTTCCCTATATTTTCTCTTATCAGTATTAAATTTATCTTGCAACTGCATTTTTATTTTGAAAAGACAGAAAAAGTAACCAAACAGTCATGCTGCTCTTTTCAAGGGCTAACCAAATAACCAAGTATTAGGCTCCATCTGAGAAAGTAATAAAGGGTTTTAAAAGGTAATTTTCATCAAGACAGAAAAGGAGAAGAAAAGCTGGAGAAAGATGAGGAGAGAAAAGTAGTAGAAATGAAGTAGAGGTTGATAAATGTTCTATCTTTCTGAAACAGTAATTAGAACATTTGAATTATTTAAAAATGGAGCACAGTTGATCTGCCCTGCTTCTCCTTTTTCATACTTCAAATCTATCCTCCTGTCTCCACGTATCAGGCCATTGTCAAATTCTAGACATTAGGGAACGACCACCTGCTGTTATCTCCTTAGAATGACATTTCAGAGCATGTGTTAAGATTATTCTTATTCCTTTCAGTGAAGAACCAAAGGTTGTATAATGGTGGCTAAGAAAAATCATATCTCATTTTTATACTTTCCAGCTGATGGATATTTCTTTAAAATATAAAATGACTCTGATGTTCTCACTGTCTAGGATTTCTAAGATGGAATGGATGCTCACATTTGGTTTTACGAGACTCCCCATTTATATTTTGAGTATGCGTGTGTCTGTCTTCTAGGAAGACCACACATTCACCACAAAACCACTGGCACCAATAAAAATAGAATATGACCCCAACTTTGTCTGCTTCCCATACACCTCTAATTTCATTAGCTCCCTAGTGCCAGCTGTAGCCTTGTTCTGACACTTAGTACCTAAAATTTCTCCTCCTCTACTGAATGGGTTACCAACCCTTTGGGTTAAGCAGAGCCCTCTGGGTAATCTAATCTTATCTCTAGGACCTTGCTGCCCCTTATGATTACCTCTTTGGGACAGCTTTGCTTGGAAGAATAGAGAACCTATGAAGCAAGCTCAAATGAACCAACTCAACCTTTCATGGCAGAATGAGAACAATAGGCAATCATATATGCCTACTGGCTGCAATGCTTTGAATCAAGAAGGCTCAAGATTACATCTTAGAATAGAAGAATGCTATACTGATTCTTGTACTTGATTATATGAACATATTTCTTCACCAAGAAGATCAGTGCTTTCAATGCTAAGCCTTGACAATGAGAATGAGGGGTGAAAGTCTCGTGTTCACCATGCATTACTTAGATGCACCCCATTTATGGTAATCTATCTTTACATTTAATTAATGGTCTTCAGTGACTCTTTTCAGGAGTACATTGAATGAATCTATATGACAATCTGTATCTCACTGAAATGTCAAAGACTTCAACATGTGCTACTAATGGAACAAACTCCATGCATGGTCTCCTCCATCAATTAAAGAGATTTTTTTTCCCAATAAATTCTATTTTCTTTTTTAATTGCCAGATAGCTTGTTTCTAAACTGTTTTTAAATTAATTAAATGTTTTTAGTTGGAACCCACTTAACAGACACTGCTTAAACAGAATCAGATTTTCTAAAGAGATCATTAGCCAAATGATTGGATTTTACTTCTTCAAATTTCAAGTTGTATAGCCACAGCACAAAGAACCATTTATTTTCATAAATTTCCAACTAGAAATAATTGGGAAAGATAATATAGTGTTATCTTAGGCAGGGGTCCCTAGAAACAAGGCCTAAGACAGACATTCTTATGAAAGTAGTTTATAGTTTGGAGTGTTCTTAGGACAATAGGAATTAGAAAAGCAGGAAGAATGAAGGACAGCACTAAGCTAGGATATGGTCTTAACTGAAGTCAGCTTCAGATTGCTCCCACAGAATACTATCACCTTGAGTAAAAGGATCAGCCTCGTACATTCCTGCCAGCCAGTCACTCGCCACAGCTGTCCCTAGGAAGAAGTGTGATTTGTCACATTTTGTGGAGGGCAGTTCTCTGGGGCCAAAAGGAGGTGTGGCATCTGCGAGGAATTAGCAGCCAACATTCCCAGCACCAGCATGCTTCTTGAGATCTGGACAAGGCACCAACAGTGTCTGCTACATCTGTACACGCATTTAAATGCTGTAAGAAACAGCATAAAAACACCCTTCACTAGGACTAAACTTAAAATGCAAATGGGCTTGGGCATTGATGCAACTGCAGCATTGCTTGTCATCATGATGAACCATGTAACATGAATAAATACTATTTACACTGAGTGCAGGACTTTTCTGCTATGCTCTTGCTTGACCATTAGATTTTTTTCCTGGAATGTTCTGACAGCACTCCATTGCTCAAGCTTTTAACCACTTCTGGTATATATATATATATAATTAAAAAGAAAAAGCAGTGTTTGCTCACCAATAAATTTGTCTTCTTGGTGAGAAAAGCCAAACAGAGGTTGAGGGGAATATTGAAAAGCAAATGTCAACTCTTTGTATTCTCAGAATGGAATTGAACCTCTAAGGTCATTTAACTGTAGAATTGTTTTAGGGACTGTATAGATTTTAAATAATAAAATATAAATGATCTCTAAAACATTAAAAAATTAAATAGAAACTCTCCTTTAACCATAGTCCATTCCCATACTAAACTGCAATTTTCCAATATCCTTATTAATCTCTGGTATCCATAACTTAACTGCTGCTTTTCTCCTAGAGGACAGGAACATAATGCAATGCCCAGTGCAACAGAAGCAAATAGTTCCTTTCTAGTCTTTGTAACCCTAACTAAGAGAATCATGTTCATTCTGGTTGCAAAATTTTGGGTGAAAGTATGTAAAACTGAGTGCAGTCACAGTAAGGAAATGGTGACCCTGCCACATAAGAAATGTTTTCAGGAGGTGACAATGTTTGGTCTCCAAATAGTCTGGAGAGATCATAGTCATTGTTTCCAAATAGCTGAAGAGACCTCCTCTGGAACAGGGTTTAAATTCACTTGAGATCCCAAATGGCCCATGACAGATGACACAGAGAGGCATAGTTCAGACACTAAAAGAAGAGCTGCTTAAATTAATTCCAGAAGTATTTCGTGGAGCTGGGCAGAGACTAAAATACATGCTCACAAAATGCTGTATACTGTACTCCCTTTGGACATTCATAGTGCACATTAGCACTTCAAAGTCTTGCCATCCTGAAAGCAACCCAGGTGTTATCAGTGCAGAGCAGAGGCAGTCACTGAAATGAATGACCACTAAGGACTTCTCCCTTCTAGTATCTATGTTTCTTTAATTCCACTTGGCTACTATTGAACACTCTTTGCCACATATCTCTTCAATGTACACAATTTATAGAGCTTTTCCAATGCTTGCAAAGGCAAATTTATTAAAGAGTTATTAAGATTGCAATATTATGTTCAAATTTCTCCTTGAGATTATGAAATATAAATGAATGTATGGCCTGTATGCAGCATGTTCCAACTGAAG